AATCCAAAAGTTATATATAGTGGTCACTTGCATGACAGAGCATAATGCAGACCACCTACAATATGCAGTGCTTAGGCAAAGCAAACTTCTGTTCCGTTTTCTAATTATTTTTTTTTGATATAATATATGATCAGATAGACTGGGTAGAGCATTGAATCATGTTACTTTCACCTTGCTAAAGTGTGATGTATTCCATAGGGGTGGCACACAGGACCCTGGTGGTGCAGCAGACACTGAGGTAGCAGTGTCTGCTGCACCACGTGTGAGACAAACCTCAAAGTGCAAACGCCAAGTGAACGGTCCATTCTGTGTGTTCTGCAATCCTATGAAGCTGTATCGTGAGAAAAAGCGAGTGGGTCAGCAGAATGGTGGGGCTTGTTGCCCCAGCCAGTACTCAGAGCTTGTAAATGGCTTCTGCACTGACACTGTCAACATATTGGGAACCCCCAACATGGATATAGTAAGCCCTGCAGCAGCCCTCCTGCAAGACAACTGCTACCCTGTTGTACAAGATTTTGTGGGCCACCTTTTTCACCAGATGAGACTGATCCCAGTACTGCAGAAACCGAATGCCGTCCTGGTGTTCTGCGAGCCGCTGGCCATGAGTGATGCTCTGCGCATCCACTTGCTGCACTACTTGTTCCTCACAATCAAGGTTGCCAGGTTAGTGCACTTTGCTTGTACTTTTCAAAATGATTATTAATGTGGGTCACTGGAATAACATGTTTGTCACAGAGTGCAGCGGACTGAAAAAGTTTTACAGTGTCTTTTAGGGCAGATAATTTAGGACAGAGAGATGTAGACATGGATCACCATGGTTGAAATATTAAGTGCTTACTAATTGGACATCGATGGGAGGGTATCATAGAGAGACTGGGCGTGATTCACTGTCTCTAGGTTAGAGCCCGTTGCTGGCTTAATTTGAACCTTCAGAATCCATGACGGGGAATTCCCTGATCTGCTACCATCTGCTCAAAGGAGGCTGTTGGTTGTTGTAACCTTTTTGTACTATAATAGGGGATTTAAACTCTAGTATGTAGCTGCTGGCTGGATTTTTGCTCCAAGGTTAATAGTTTCATGGTTTGCCAGCTGCTTGACATGGACAGTAAGGGCTAACTAATTCTACATAATGTTCATTGCTTAGGAAAATATTTGAATGTAAAATGAAATTTTTAAATATTTGGTAATGAGGAACTTCGTGATTTATATATCATCTATTATTGATAGGATGTTTGAATTCAAGAATTATGAGTTGTTAGACATATAACTTGATTGATGAAGACTGTACATGAATTTTAGTTGAGAAATCTCTTGGGAAATGGCCACTTGGATGACTGAAATGGAGATGAGGATAACATTCAAATTATTCTAGTTTATTTAGCATCTTCACACAACAAATTAATGCAGAGTGCCACAAAAATTGTTCTGCATCATATACTGATTGTATTGTCACATGTTTTGGATCAAACTGTCCATCTGCAAAGTAATTTCTTTTGTGTAATGCACAAATGTTAAAATGTGATATGTAAAGTTTTTGTGTCTGTGTCCATATGTTCACTGAGTTATCATCACTTAATTGTCATTGGTTACCATGTTATAAATTATAATTAAATGGTACATTATATATTCCTGTATATTCAGACATGTTAGTCTGTTCCTGTTACGGTGTGTAAACTTCACTTTGTAACATGATTACATTATCTTCTTGTCGATGTGCACTTCTCTGCTCTTGCTTCACTGTCACTAGTTGGAGTTGAAAAGTTTAAAATTATAACTGCAGTTACTAGTTGTAATCCTGTACGTTAACATTTTGTGTAAATTCGTACTGTTATGATGCACTCAATCTTAGGGCAGCGAGTGATGAAGCTAGGAGGTGAATGAAACTGACTCATAATTGTTTTTATCCAATTTTAGAGTGTGTATGATTGCTAAGCCACTAGCAATCTGTGCTATGATGCGGCTGAATACGTGTGTGGTGGTGGACAGCGGTGCATTCAGTACATCAGTAGCGGTCATACTAGATGGACAGGTGGTGCCAGAACGATGGAAACACATCCCAGTGGGCGGATGGCACGTTGCCGAGAACCTGAAGCTGGCCATGCAGTGGCAGCCGAAAGAGTACACTGAGGTACACCAATAACAGACTAGCTGTGCGTTAAGATGTTCAAACATGCGAGGACTGCGTGGCTAATTGTACTTACTGCATTGCCAGATCCCCATATCATACCTGGACACATTGGCTGTGAAAGAGAAGTGTCGCCTCAGTTACAACTTTGCGAATGAGGAGTGTCGCAATGGGCCTGCACGCCGGGAGCACATAGACTTGCGTGTGGACAGCTATGCAGACTGCAAACAGTTCTGGGTAAGTGCTGAGTATGACACAGACTGGTAGTCTCATGGCTATCGGCAGCTTTGTTTCACCGTTGGAAGCTGCTTGGAACCTTCATTCCTTATGTGTACTTCAGTGGGCATAATGTATGGTAACGTGGTGGTAGCACTGTAGATTTGTTTTTAGGAGGCGCCCGATTTAGATTCTGGGACTTATTACTGGGTATTCTGCCTTTGATTTTCTGTCATCTTCCTCCGTCTCTTCAGGTGACTTGGGTAGTGCCTTAACAGGGCCATGCCCATTTACTTTCAATTCATTATTTATCTGCAGGATGTCAACATTCCAAGCTGGGAAATTATTAAGGCAGCATTCTCTATATGGTTGCATGGAACATGATCAAGAGTGAATGTTCGCAGTTCCACTTTGCAGGCTGCCTAACATAAAAGCACAGAAGTAGTGGTGATGGCCATACTTCATCCTGGTGACAGAACAGCCACAACTGTAATTTTACAAGGGCCTAGTAAAGAATTGATTGCCTACGCAATTCATATTTGGTGATGATTTGTGACCACACATTCATTGTTCGTCCAGCCCAGTACTTCAAAGTAACTGTGCTTTAATTAAATGTTTGATTCCAATCATCAAGTCTGATCTTTGACATTACACGACTGCATTTCAATCTTGTCGACACTATTGAAAATTCCTGTCTCATGACAGTCACATAGCATAGGCAGTTTTAATACTGTCAGTACATAAACTAATGCATCACCAACTTGTTGCAGAGGGTGTCTCTGGGGCCAGAGCTGTACCTTGCCCCAGAGATGATGTATACCAGTCTCGGATTGCCTCGGGCGATACGGGATGTGACTGACGGACTACCCGTAAACGTCCTCAAGGAGTGCCTGAGCCATATCCTACTAACAGGTGAGCACATTTACAAGTCTAACATCTGGTGTGTGTGACGTGCACCAGATTTAGTTCTGACAAGGCAGCTTCTTATTATGATTCCTTTTTCTCAACCGATTAGATCATATAGCAGATGGGAGGAAGATTATGAATGACAAAGAGCGTAGAAAGCTGATTTGAGATTCAAGCCCCAAACGTCAGAAGTTCAAGGTGGGATCACTGATCATTCAGTAGTATCATTAGTGAATGCCAGACTGGAACAGTGAAATAAACTATAGTGGTTTTGTGTGTATAGGTGGCAACACTGACCTGATGGGCTTCAAGACACGCGTGGCACGAGACTTGCGTGACCTGTTGCCAGAATACAGCACTGTGATCAATGTCATGACGTGTCCAGGCCTGAACAGTTCGAGTGTGGCTATGGGCTCCACCTGTGTGACTTCGCCACGCATAGGTAAGTAGTGATTGAGTGAGGTACAGACAGAATAGATCCATGAGGCACAGCGGTTTACTAGTTCATCTGAACTTGTTACAGGAGACAATTCCAGCCGAACACCAGGCAGCCCATTCTGCCCATTCTGGTTGTCTCGTGAAGAGTATATTCTGTATGGCTGTGATGCTTTGAGTGAGGCTCTGTGATAGTAACAGCACATCAGTAATGCGAATTGTAAGTTAAGAGAGAGTGTGTGAGTCAGCAGGGGAACTGGGCACTTATTAAAGTGAGGTTCTTGGCAGCTCCAAGTCCCATCCCAGTAATTCAACTGTTATTCTGCCTTCATTGGTTCACATCTGTTTTGTACGGCAATAGCTTCTGTACTGGGGCATTTGAATCTTGGAGACCCTCGTCTGCATGTTCATTTTTGACACAAGGTGGAGGATTAAAAAAACACCATTAATATTTATAATTCCTTCTCCAAATTTCTTGTGCTCAGAAAATCATTGTGTATCCAGAATCTTACTGAGGAAATATGAAAGTTCTTGGAAAAACATTTTCTGTGGTGATATACCTTAAGTCACTGTCATATACCGTACAGAATAGATGTCCTTATCATTCACGCAGTCTGCATCACTCTGTTAGCTGGCCGTCGTCATGAACCACAGGCATTAGGCTGAAGGTCCTTGTGTCCTTGCAGCAAACAGTGGTTGTGATGCAGCACTGTAAGGACGTTAGGAACTGAAAATGAAGTATCTGTAATTTTACGTGTAAAATCATAGATGGTATACGATTTAAAGCGGCAGGCTTTATAAAAGTTGAAAACAGAAGTCATGGGACCTAAAGCAGTTACACAATATTCTTATTAATTCATAAAATTAAAATCCATGTTAGACTCATCTTCTGTTCTTTTTACTGTTCCAGCTGTTTCAACAAAAGATTGTAATATGAAATTTACCGGCTGGAAGAGGGAAATTTGAGTGGATGGATGATCTTGGTGCACAAATCTGAGTGTAAGTCAGCAGTCACACTAATAATATTTATTATTTATATATGTACATGAAATCAAACAATCCAGCCATTAATACTCCAAATTAGTGTCATCACTCCACCAGTTTCTGTCTCTTTTTCACTAGCCCAAACAAAAAATAAATTATTACTAGCAATTATTGTTTTTTGTACCAAGCTGTCATCCCTGATGATGTAATTACAGGAGATACTGCACTGATGTGTGCGATTTATGTTCCACCATTTGGTAGTGGAAATGGTTACATTTTCTCCACGTGCTTTGTGTGGCAGTAGCTTGATTGAAGAAAAGAGAAGCATTGATGTGTGTTCTTTTTTGCTAAAATCACCGCATCACAATCATGTAGCATATCTTTAAGTGAGCACTTGCTAGTGTATGTTACGTTGCTTATGGCAAGCACAGTCTGTGTTAGGTATCCAATTTTCTGTACAGGGTATAAAGGAATTTCATGGTCAAAAAACAACTGTAAAATGGATGTACGTGTTATGGGCGTGCCTGTTGAGTTGGACTGGCGAATGCCACAGCTCATTGTCAGTGAAGGGGTTGATTTTGTAACCCCAAACTCTATGTATTTGCTGCAATATTTTTGCCACAAAAGTTCTGAAGTCAAAGAGGTAACTGCAAAAATTATGTCAATAAACAAATACAACTTACATGATTCAAAGACACAGCAAGTTTCTCCATATACCTAACTCAGGTCAAGATGGAACTATTTTGAGGCTGTGAGTTTGAGCTGACCATACCAAATATAATTCAAGCAACAATTTACAGAATGGGTATGCCGAAGTTACAAGGAAATCTTAACGTTTAAAATTGGCCTGCTTTTTTAAACCAGCCACCATAAAATATTCCATTGCATAGAAATTTTTGGTTGAATTTTGAAGTCTACCAAAACAGGTTACATGAGATAATAGATTAATGTAACCACAGGTTATTAGTCTCAAAATTTAAAAGGTTCAGGAGCCACCCGTGGCAGATCAACCGACTGCTAGTCTCCCTAAGATTTTGCAAGCAAGCACATCTTCTGTATCTGCCAGCACCAGAGAGTCTTGATATGGCAAGGGGCCGTTCCCAGAGGGAGGCAAGATTTGGTGGTGTATATCACCTCTCACACACACCACTATATTTACAGAGGACTATCTGGGGCACAGGCACCTTGTTTGTTTGTGTGACCATTCCATCATGTACCTCAGCAGCATGTGGATTTTGCTGGTTCTGCCTCCACCAAGTTAAAATCCAGCCCTCCTGGCCGCTGGAAGCCCGTCTTGATGCCATCCCACCCATCCTCAATCTTATACTCGCCTGTCTGGATGCGTGAATACACCTCCTGTGTCACTGCATGGAACGCTTCTTCCACATTTGCGCCTGTCTTTGCCGACGTCTCTACGTGGTGCAAACCGTTCTGCTCTGCAAATGCTTGGGCCTCCTCCTGGGTGACTTCCCGCCTCCCACTTGACACCAGGTCCAACTTGCAGCCTACTAGGGCAAGTACCGGCCAGTGCGGTTTGATCTGGCGACGAGCCTCCATCATCCACAGTGGAATGTGCTCAAAGCTTGAGCGGTTTGTGATGTCATACACCAATAGAGCCCCGACTGAATTGCGGTAGTACGACTTGGTTATGGACCTGAAAATACATACACTGCAGTTGGGCATTGGAATTTTATAGACGAAGATCCAGGACAGGTACGTTCTCCAACCCTATTAGATACGACTGCCCACTCTAAGATTAATGTTGTCCTTTGCCCAGAGGAACTGAGAAAACTACGAATTAAAAATTAAATTTCCTGCTAGGACTTGAGTTAAATATCTATATTAAGAATCCTATGTATGCTACTTGAGTGATAAGGGATCACAGGTCTTTTAACAATCAAATGGATTTAGATAGGACTTAAGTGAAGGAGGCTTTCCACAGCACTTCATGTGCTGGAATTTACAAGAGGCTAAAATAATTTGCATGATGGAGGCTCTTTAATGGTTTGAGAGTCTAATGACAGGCTCAGATAGCAGAAAATGAGAAATCTATGACATTTTACATGGGGAGAATATATACAACACATTGGGAAATTTCAAGAGTAGTGAACATTCTCGGTTCATAAAGAATTAAATGTATACACTACTTGAAAAAATAGAATTCGGTTGTCTTTACTAAACACGTCTTATTTTTATAACCTAATCAGAGCTTCCTTAGTATGTAGCTTAAGTATGTGTAACCCTGAACTGGCAAATTATTATCTCCTCAGTCGTGAGCCGACTTGGAATGTGAACCAAGTGTGCTATTCAAGTCACTGTGATGGGGCAAGCAAATTATATGAACGTAAAACTTCACAACGAACCGAAATCTTTCCTGTCCGGCCGTGTCCCATAGCTGTAACTTGATACGAGTTCCATCTTTTACTTCAATCAGGCGGGCAAAGAAATCAACTCCAACTGTTGGATCTGAAAGCTGAACAGTCACATTTTAAGATTAAAAATTCATATTACACAATTTTAGAATGACTCACTCCGAATTCCTCACCTACCTCGGCAAATTTTCCATCCGTGAAGTATTTTAATAAAGAACTTTTTCCGACCGTGCTATCACCTATTAGTATCAATCGAAACTGATAGTCGAAAATTGGCTCAACCATTTTTGAAGAAGTGTTTAAATATGAAGATTGTTACCATTCGTCATTCTGCACATTTACTTTGCTCAATATAAGACGTATATCGTAACCCTCCCCTCAGCTGACCGTGGCACACTGAATCAACTTCCGGTTAAAATCTAAATAGTGGCGATGATGTCGACATAGAGAATAAATGTTACTCGGTGGCAACAGTAATTGGTAATTTTCATGTTATGAGGCTTGCATGATTTTTAAACTTATCAGAGTACACAACAAGATTCGAAGTTCCCTCAATTCTATTCCAAGAGAATATTGAGAAGTAATGTTAACGATCGGAACTGAAATTGTGTAGACTGAAACCGTGTTCGTGATTGGTTGATTATAATGTACCCAACCAATGAGATTCCTGGAATTAAGACCCTTGAAAGGAAAACAAATTTGGTGTTATGGCGGAAGACGTTTTGGGTGGGATTGATGTGAGGAGCGAGAGAAGTGACACCAACGAAGGAATATTTGAGAAAGCCGATAAATATTTGTCGGAGTTGGGCCAATGGTATGTATTATCGTTGTGTGTTGGTTAGGGTTAGCCCTACCTGTCGCTAAATAGCTCATCATTATTCATGAACTCGCGTCTCTTTGATTCAAAACACGTGCTGCGGATTAGCATGGCTAATAGACGTGATTAGATCTGTATCCACTTGCGAGTTAATTTCATAGTACTGCGGTAGTGATGGCGTCGTACCCGCGCCCTAGCTCCCTGACATCCCTCTCGGACATGCGTTTTGGCCGGCGCATGTCCGCCCCTGTCCCAGTGACAGCGCGGCGTTCATCGCAGGCTTCCATCCCTGGCTCGTCGGGTTGCCGGAGCAGCTCCTGCGACGACCCTCGGCCTCGCAGATTGAGTCTGGCCGACGTTTCGGCCGCATGGTCCAGTAGGAAGCTGTCCCTGGTGCAGTGCTCAACCAGCAGCGACAGTATAGAGATAGACACATCCAGCGTGTCTTATGACCTGCCAGCAGTTGGCGTCTCTTGCGCAGGGTCCTACCAACCAATTCCTAGTGATGCAGCCATCAGACACAGCCCTGTGCTCCATACCCACATCACTGCCAACAGGTCATGTTATGTTGTGGGACCATAAGAATGAGATGTGTTGATAACATGTTGAGAGACCCTGAGCAGGTAGTGAGGGTTTATCCTAATTGCATTTCACAGTGTCTATATCCTGCAATGTAGAAATGGGAAACATCAGTTGTGTTGAAACAGTGACCATTGGTCATTGCTACACAAACATTATGGAGGGAAAGGTTTCCATTGGGGTGAGAACATTTGCATTTTGAATGTGTAGTTGATTTTTCTGAAGGGCATCCAGTTATCAGACATATTGAAAGAAGTTGAATGTACATGTGGTATGTTGAAGGTGTTCAAATCCAAGTAAATGGGCGAATTTTAAGTTTCCCCCAAAAGTGGGATAACAATAAAAACTATCAAAATGAGGGCATAGTTTTCATTTCAGCATTTTAACAAGATTCTGGGTCCTGATAATTCTGATCTCCGAAATTTCAGGATAACTTATAAATTGCTGAAAGGCCGAAATTAAATTTTGATAAAAGATGAAGAAAGATTTATCTTTCAGAAATTTATTGTGTAAAAGATATTTTCAAGACATCAGGGAAGTCACATACATGTGTGTTAATTAGATGGAAACATTGTGTTTATGCGGGCCATAGTATGAGAAGGTTTGACAAGAACAAATTATGTTCTCTTGGGAGTACCAAATGTCAGCCTGGGAAAGGAAAGCAGTTAATGTAGATGTTGGTTTATTGTGAACCAAGGGTTAGTTTGTCATACTTAGTGTTTACAAGTAGTTCATAGTTTGGATTTCAGGTTATCACTGTTGTGAATATGAAGACAGCTGTCTTCTGGAATGTCGGTAGATAGTGACTGGTATTTAAGAGGAGCTTTTATTATCATCCTGATTATGGAGGTAGTGCGCTCCACTGAAACATCAGTCAATATCTGCCAGTTTAATCAGTGAAACGTCCCAGAAGACAGTCCATAGTTATTCATTATGCTATCATAGCTCAGGCGTTAGACCGTTACTGGTAAGGTCTTGCTACCACATTATGCAGATGAATCTGCAGTCCATGAAGCCACTCAACTTCCCCTGTCTTCTATATTACTTTGACCTCCAACCTGGTGTATAATATAGTAATAAATGGTGATGTGTTGGTAGGCCTATATGGCGGGCGCTAATACTTGGACAACTCATGTCACTCATGCTTTGTGTGATGGCCGCCTGCAACCACTACCTGTCAACACAGTACCAGGTCAACCTGCCTGCAGGTAAGTGACAGCAGAAACGTCTGTGTAAAGTTATCTGCCCATCTTCCTTCTCTAATTTTCTCCCACATCTGTGGATCTGTCTGCCTGTAATGTTCTGATGTGTCCATCTCTATCAGCCTGGCAGCAGTAGTAGAGTTTTGTATGTTACAGGGCAAAACACCATGCACTATGTGCTCCAGTGCCTGCTGTTCACGACGTGGCTATCAAGTCGACCGGGAGATCAAGGCATCGTTCATGTGTTCAGGTGCAGAGGTTGGCGCTACCTACTCCTGGCTCTGCTCGATGTGGAGGCCAGCTACTTGTTTGCCAGAGCCCACCAGTTCACCACGCTCACTAGTATTCAGGTAACTCATGGCTGATTTTATTATTTTCCCCAGTTCATTCAGATTCAGATGGTACCTTAAATATACCATGACCATTTTCTTCCAAATTGATCATCTGGGATTATCCAATGAATGTGATGCAGTACAACTCTTGCACTTGGGAAGGCAGTGTTAAATAAATTAACGTTATCCTTGCATCTTTGAGGTTGCAGATTCAAACCTTTCTTTCAGTTGCTGGACTGTGTAGCCATCCCAGCTGTTCTGGCACTCACTTGCCTTCTACTGAAAGTGCACTACAAGCTTGTGCACATCTTAGGTGTCAGCATATGTCTGATGGGTGTAGGCTGCCTGGTGTGGGCTGACATTGATGACGGACGCACCCTGACAGGTGGTAAGTATATTTGCCATGCCAGGAAGTGTAGTGACTCACAGCCAGTCTTTGCTTATGTACAACACATCGAACTTACTGGTACTACCTTTCCATGCTGATATTTGTTTATTTTTCTGAAGGTATGGTAGGTCATTGTGCCATGGTGCAGTTGGCCAAAAGATTTCCTGTGGCTTACGTTTCAAAATAATTACAGCACTGGCTAGGTATACATTACTGGTTTAACATCTTTGTTAACAGATCACTATTTTTTTTCAAAAGCATTTCGCTGGAAATTTTTTTCACAATAACGTTTAGGGAACACTGAGACAGAAATACTTGTCACGTGGAGATGAAATGTTAAGACACGTGCCATACAGATCTGACCTGTGACAGTAAGCTGTTTAGGGAGAAATCTGGCTATGGGAGCATTGACCTCAAAAATTCTCATGGCTGCAATATTGATGTAATTGATGGACGTGACGAGTGTTACTGCTTCAGGGAGGAACCAGCTGCTTGGAGACATGCTGTGTCTGGGTGGGGCACTGCTGTTTGCAGTGGTGTCAGTGGCACAGGATCTGGTGGTGAAGACGCTGGACTGGGTGGAGTACCTCGGCATGGTGGGGCTGTTTGGCAGCATACTCAGCACTGTGCAGACGTACGTACTGATGTTGCGGTGCGCTGGACATTTGTTTCTGCACCGTGACAGTGCTTCTTTTCATTCTGCTTTGTTCGGGAATTCCTGTCCAGAATCTGCGTGGCTCTTTATCCCCCACCCTGTGCACTTTGTGGATGTTTCACCATGTGCCATATCAGAGTTTCTGAAAGTTAAGTCAATACTGAAAAGGAAGAGATTACTTTTTGACGTCATTTGGATCAAAGGAAACTCACAGACTTTATTTGTGGAGTCAAGAACATAGAATTTCCAACGATATAACCAATTTGAAAGCTACAGTCACCGAATGGATACAGTTTTATGAAAGATTTTTAGCATGGAGCTTTTCTGGTTACATATCATATCTTGGATGGCTATGCAATCTCTTAACACATATGTGGTTTTGGCTTATTTGACATAGAAAATATTACTGCTTTTACAGGACGTTTTGTGTAATATTTAGTGTGATAATACAGGTCACAAGTACAAATCACAAGTTGGGCACACTGTCAGTACACAGCCATGGTTTGAAACAGGCTCTTATTCTACTGCCAACCTGAGGTGGTAGATATTATCTTACACAATCTATTGCACACAGGCTGAAGCCATCAAAATGCCTCTAGCTTCAGCAATTGCATTGACAATCCAATGTATATGTTTGTGGTGTTACTATTTTTAATATAACTGAACGCTTTAAAATAAGTGGGTATTTTGTTTTTGTTTTTTTTGTCGCCATTCCTTTCTAACTTTGTTTTGGAATATGACATTAGGAAGGCTCAGGAAAACAAAGAGGGATTAGGATTTAATGGGACAGATCAGCTTCTGGCCTATGCTGATGGAGTTAAGTTTTCATTTGTCTTGAATTTCATGAGAATGAGTTGGATGCCAGACACAGACTGAATGGTACACCAGTAGGTTACAAGGGTGTTCAGTTTTGCCATCCTGTTTGGCATGTTGGTACACAGGGCTGTGCTGGAAAGAGACACCATCTTGTTGATGCCATGGGATACCTGGCAGGTGGTAGCCCTGCTGCTGGGGTTTGGACTTGCCCAGTTCCTGTTCTGCATTTCGGCACCAGCCATGCTCCATGACAGTGGCGCCACCGCACTGCAGCTGTCGCTGCTTACTGCAGACTTCTACTGGATCATGCTCAGCATTATACTTCTGCATTACAAGGTAAATCAGTGTCACCACTGCAGCATCTCAAAACACTAATTATAAGGCACTGCAAATGATGTGATGTATGCAGAACTATATTAGAGTGTCTTGTTTGTCCATTTGTATTCTTGAAATTTGTTAATTTAACTGAACCCTGAAATGAACCTGTTGCATTTTAATTTTAGAAAGGCATTATAAGATACATTATGTCTCACCTGGAACCATAAGATGAGCCATATCAAGAACCATGTATGTTACTTTACCGAGTTTCAAATCTTTGTTGACAGCTCCATGCATTGTACTTTGTTTCGTTCGCGCTGACAGCGACAGGAATCGTGGTCTATGCAGTGAAGCGAACACCCATCTTGTCCCATTCCCAGCAGGCCACAACATATAGGTGAGTAGGAGGAGACTCTATGGGTTATCTCATTGGTAACACGTTGCACTTGTTCAAATCCTGACACGTCTGCCTTGAGTGACATGGCCATGAAGCGGTTGCTTACTGCCCTTCTCTTCTAATTTTGGAATGAGTGCCATCTGCTCTTATCTGCAAGGGAGATGGTGCCATGTTAATTGTGTTCTGAGTTTTGATACCATGTGGTCATGTGGGTGATTATTGATGTTTCTGGTTGAAATTACATGACCTTGTAGATGGACGCAATACATTGTTACCAACATTTAAGAGCAAAATTTCACTGCCATCTTCAGTGTGAACTGAGCACCTACTGTGCTGTACTGTGTCACAATCCAGAAGGCCAATATCGGCATCTTCACTGCCGTGAGAACGTCAGATTTCAAAGTGGTCTCACGTTTCTTTTTCGCTGTTCATAAAACTTGGTATCAGGACTGTGCAGTTGGTAGCCCCCTGTCACTAGCATCGCCAACAGGTAGGTCACACACGATTAATTTGTGTGCTGGTACATACTTAAAAAATATGCTACTGGAGTATAAGCTGCAACAGGAGGGAAGTATGCGGTGAAAGCATTCACTTGGAAGGTGGAGTCTGAGGTGATCAGTAATATTAAAATGGGCTGTGTGCCACTGGGTTGTTGAAGTGTGAACTGGAATCAGTTGGCTTAGCGCTGGGTCTTTTAGTGATACTGAACCCTTGGGTTCTGGCAGCTCTTTATGGCATGCAGTCTGGCATGAGGAACACAGATGCTAGAAGCATCTTAGATTTTGTTTGTTTTGAGTTTTCTTTCATTTTGTTTCTTGCTTTGTTTTAGCGTCTTCTTGTTTCCGTCATTTGAAGAATCTCTGAACAAAGGTAACTAGCTTCATATACAATGCAGGATGGGCCAAAAATTTGTGTTACTTTTCAATATATTGCTAATGATTTAATGGGCCTGTCTATAGAACTTACATTTTACTCAGAAAATTACCAGGAGTGAAATGTTTTTTCATAGGAAACAAGTTTATTTTATTTTAATTACTTGTCTTCTAGTCAGATAATGCTTGTAATTCTCTGCATCGTTATAGAACTCGTAGTCTCTGTACCTTACAAACGGTTTGTGTGTTTAGAGCCATGTCAAGAGACAACACCACTGCAGACAACGTGGAGCTAGCCACTCCCATCAGCGATCTTGTCTCATTATCTGCTTGCCCATCACAGCAACTAGATGACAGCACTTACACACAGCTGTCTGCTGGCTGTCCAGACAATCAGGTGTGTCGAATGGTAACAGTAACTTGGTTCATAAACAGGGGTCACATGTATCAAACTTATTCTTATTCCGCAGGTATAAGGTGTTCAGGGATTTGTTTCATGACAGATACATTTAGGTCACCTAGCATCACGTTCTTACAAGTATGGGGTCACATTAAAGTAACTGCAGGAACCAAGAAGTGCATATAGATTTTCCATGGGTAATCTCATGGTACAGAGATGGCTACATAAGCAAATGAGAAGGAAACAGGTTAATGGGTGTCAATAAAATAACATTATATGAGTGTGAGATGGTGGATGTTGATATCAGGCCCAGAAGACATACAAATGTACTGAGCAGTGTTTTTGGATCGCTGTATTAGGAGATGGAATTGTTTACTTGGTGTGCTTTGTACTCAGTCACATGAACAAGAGGTCTTACGCTGTGTTGGTATCATTTGTAGGACTTAAGAATACACTTTACTGCAAACAGCTGAAAGGCCAGTCGTCAGTTGTGGTCGTACCCAAATATGTGCTTTGCTGTAGTCATTAGGTATAATGTGCATGGTCTTCTTGCCAAGTGTCACTTGAAACTGACTGCACACTGCACTTGGTTCTTTGAAGTAAAATTACTAACAGAATTTTGTGTGTGAATGCATTTGCTTTCTTTTAAAGGTAGTGTAAAAGTGCAGAACCTACATTGAACTACTTTATGGTCTCGCTGTGCTGCAGAACACTCAGCAACGTTTAATTCTAACGCACATTATTTTGCAGGTGTTCAGGACGAATGGTGATGCCCCGTTCTGCTGATTGCTGTACTTCGTGTATTTGACTGACTCAGCTGTGCTCAATTCTTACTCTTGGTCTTCTAACTCTTGTTCACATATTTCAAGATGGCATAGCAACATTCTCAAATGTTCTGTGTGGAATTCCAGTGCCTACAGATGACAGGTTAAGTCTTGTTTGGTTTTAATGGGTAACTTTATATGGCTGTTAGTCTGTCTGTCACCATGCTGAAAAATATTTAAAATTGCTGTTGTAGATCTTAATGAATTTTGTGTCATGTATCAGCCATTTTTTTAAAATTAATTTAGTTCTGTTTGACAGGCATGTCAAAGTAGAGGTTATACTGGGCCATTACAGAGAGAGACAAGTTATATTATAGATGCCCTGGTACAAAGTTTAAAGTTCATCGTTTTATCAGAACCACTGAGTACTTCTGTAAGTAAATATGATATGCCCATTATGCATTTATTTCACCATTGGTTCAGTATTTGTTACAATGAGATTTGTACCAGTTGTCTTCACAAATCTTGAGCCAGTTTTAGTCCTTCTAATATGCTTGGATGCATCCTTTTCCATCATCCCTGCCCATCCATTTGCTCCTGTCATAGAGATCTTCAGTTGTCCAATAGATTTTGATGAAATTTTATATTAGACGATTTGATTAATATTCAGCAATAAAAGTATTTACATGAACTAACAAATGGCGCGGGGGTGAAGCGGTAAACTGGTGGCGTCAGAATACGAGCATCACACAAAGTGCTATTTTAATAGAGGCCATTATTCATCATGAAAATAAGACTACAGTTGCAAAATTCTGTTTATGTAACAAAATTAAGAGCAGTAAAGATACTAATTTTTGTGGATAGAAGCAATGGAAGACTAATGACGTCATAACACGAGCATCGTACTTAGTGGTATATTAATAGAAGCCAGTAATCATAATGAAAATAAGAATACAGTTGCAAAATGTTTATGTGAGGAAATTAAGAGAGCTAGACGGTACAATTTCTTGTGGATTGGCAAAACGGAATACATTCTCAGTTTTCTCTAGTATACCTTCCATCCAGTGTTTATATTCATGGACGTCTGTTTTATGACCCAAGAAGTCTTTAAGAATGTGCATACCATGCATCGTATTTTGTCTGTGGAAATCTGTAAAGTGATATCTGGAGATGCACAATAGCTATGGCATCTTAATTGGAAATGTGGGACTTGCCAGTGATGAGGTTGCTTTGTATATGTAAGGAAAGTGCAATGATAGTTATGGATTGTTTTTTGTGATACAAGTGATTTTCAGCGATTATTTGTTGGCCTGAGTGCTGGCCTTAATTTTGTTAGGTGTATATTTTTGTGTTGTATCCGAGTGAAGTGTTGAGTGCCTCAAGTACCAAAACAAAATCAAACGAAGAGAATTTCGTGTTCGAAAGTACGGTTGCTAGTGGACGCAGTGACTCGGTGTGTTATAGATAGTCTTTCTGGTTTTATACATTGTTCTTTGGTGTTGATCAAAGGGGTTATTGGATTCAGTACAATCCGTTGAACGAGAGTTTACGTGATGTAGGCGATATATGGAATGTTGGTTTCGTAGTGCTTCGTGCTAAGTTCATTGTTCTGTAGTTTACGAAATCGTAGGTGTTTTCTATTGTTCTTTTCATAAATGATTGACGACTTGAGGTTTGGTATTTGGTTTCTTATGGGTGATGTTGGTTGGCCTGTCCATTTGACTTAACACGTGATTCCCCTCCATTTTTCTGCAAATTTACTTCGGAGAAATTATACAACTGAAATCGGTGTTTTGAATTTTTACTGAGGGTTACAAATGATTATGAATATTTTGGGTTGCAGTCTCGAGTTGAATTAGGAAGATTCGAGCTTTATAAGATTGTGCTATAGGGATTACTGAGGTTGGAGTTTAACTGTATTTCGTCGCTGAATCTGAAATGTAAGTCATATGTGTAAAAATTTTAGATATTTGACGATGTAGTGTTGGTGCACTGTACCCAATGACGGGGAAACTTTTGTGTTGGACATTCTGGCAGGTGAGATGTTGGCAGCAGAGCCATCAAGCGGTTGACGTGTGTATATCGGGGTCCTCCAAAACATAATTGCGTTAATGTAAGTGTGTGGGTGTGCCTATTTAGATTAATAGTAGTTAATCCGCAAATATTTACAACTTGTATCGTTCCGAAATGTGATATTACTTTACTAATTTCGGTAAGTACCGGTGAAACTCACTTTCCACTTAAAGTAGGCCTAAATTGAAGTATTTGTTTATAACCTACAAACGAATTAGGAATGTCCTGAGTTATTAGGTTCATGTCGGTTGAAGCACTGAACTGGTAGTGTTGGGTGCTGGTAGGTATGACATGGGGTGATGAAGATGCCACAACACTACGTGTGTTTGGTTGCAAGTCCGTTGTACAGGGATGCCTGACAGAGTAGTAGAGAAGTGGACTTGGCCCACTGAGGCTGTCCCATCAGCTTCACCAGAACCACGCCGTTGTGGTGACAAGACATGGAATTGAAAGTCTGGGTTGAAGGAATTCAGAGGATAGTTTGTGGAGTCTCAGATAATACAACATGTCAGGTGTGTATACACAAAAGTCTTGTCTTGCTTGCATGTCCTTATTAGTTTTATGTATATGTTAATTTATTGGGTGGCGATATAAATACAATAAATATAAACACATAAGTTTTACTAAAAGCTGGTAGAAAGGTGGGGCAAGAATTAAATTATTAAAAACTAAGTACATGTTATTATCCCGTCAGCAGACAGGCAGGTAATATCATATTAGGGTGACTAATAAATCCTTTGAAAGTGTGACATTTGAAATATTTGGGAACAACAATAATAAATCAAAATGATATTCATGAGGAAATTAGGAGACCAAATTCCAGAAATGCTTGTTACTAATCAGTTCGAAATATTTTCTTTCCATCTGTTGGAAAGAACCTAAAGATTAAAATGTACAAAACAGTAATTTTACCTGCTGTTTTGTATGTGTGTGAAACATGGTCTCTCACTCTCGGGGAGGAACATAGATTGCAGGTGTTTGAGAATAGGGTGTTGAGGAGGATATTTGGGCCTAGGAGAGAAGATGATGGGATCTGGAGAAAGCTGCATAAGGATGAGCCTAAAAATTTTTACTCCTCCCACAATATTGACAGGGTGATCAAGTCAAGAAGAATGAGATGGGCGTGGCATGTGGCACAAATGGATTGGACAAGAGGCGTGCGCTGTATATTGATCGGGAAGCCTGAGGGGAAGAGACTGCTGTGGAGACCTAGACGTAGATGGGAGGATAATATCAAGCGGGAAGTAGGAGATAGGAGTTGAAGGCGACCATATTTAGTTGGACCAGTGGAGGTCTTTTGTTAACTCATTGATGAACCTTCAGGTTCTGTAATCCATGTAGTTAGTTATATATATGTGTGTGTGTGTGAGCCAGCATAGCTCATTCAGTATAGTGATTGGCTATGGACTGGATAACTGGGGATTGGTCTGCAGTGGGGGCATAGGATTTGAGGATTCTTCCTCTAGCTGGTGTGTCCAGACCGGTTTTGGGGCCCACCCAGCCTCCTATCCGATGGGTACCGTTGTCCTTTCCTGGGAGTAGAGCGTGGCCAGGGCATGATGCTGACCACTCACCCCCTTCTAGTGTCAAGGACAAGAATGAGTAGTAGCTATACCTTCCCTCTCCCCCCCCCTCCGCAAGTGTCTACATGGTGTACAGTGGGACAGCTTTACTATTGTCGCTTTTACTTGACTGTGTCTGTGTAATTAATTATTGGGTGCTTGATTTATGGTCAGTTGCTGAAGGAGAAATATGTTTGAATGTAAAAACAGGTAGCATCTTACTCCTGCACAAAAGTATAAGCAGTTTAGTAATATGCTTATTAAGGCATTTATTTAGTTGTCTGTACGGAAGACTTCCCATTTAACACTTGGTGACTTTGGAAGTCATTAAGATAAATGATAATTATGAAACATTTATTGCAGGATGTTGTGTATGCATTGGCCCATGCTACAGGCAAGACAGGACGATTTACACTCGTTGAGCGCTGGCGCAATAATGAGCGACTTCTTGCTCCCCAGGAGCACCCTCTGAAGGTAACTAGCATAAGGCTTAGTTTAGTGACGAATGCTCACATACTGTTGGCTGACAATCAGGTTAGTTGCCACAGGCATGGCTTATGTGATGCCTCAGAATCTAGTCTTTTGCTTAATGTTGAATTTGAATGTCTTGTTAACCAGTTAATGCAAATCAGGTTTGTATAAGAAAGATGCTCCTTTAAAAAAAATGATTGTCCACAGAAAACATAAATTCATCTTAGGTCTGCAGTCCAAGATTATATAAAATGAACCTCAGAGGGTATTTGATTCATGTTTTAATATTTTAATGATTTCATAAAATCAGTTTCGATCAAGCAAGTAATTGGACATTCCAGTCATTACACTAGTTATTTGTGTAATTAGTCAGAAACCAGAAGATGAAGTTATGAAAGTTCATAAAACTCTTTGTTGTGTTGAAATAGCCACCATATTATTTTGCTCTCAGTCTTTTGCATATTTTTCAAGGTGGAACATGGTGGTGGATGTATGGCGATACATGACCACCCATTATGTGTTTATTATAAGTGCATCATTCAGTTCATTTGAATTCATTGTTATTTCTGCTTTGTGAGCAAATGCTGAAGTTTATTTGCATTTCAGATTCTCACTAAATGGGGTGAGTATTCAAATGATGTGCAGTTCATCCTGCAGTGGTCTGCATTTGATGGGACAAAGCAGCAGCCAGGAGGACAGCAACTTCCATCGAGGCTGAAGATGGCGGACACTCTGCACAGCGTCACTGCCGCCTCACCACAAGATGCCGTATCACCGTCAGACCGAAACAAGGACATACGAAAGTCCCTGACATTCAGCGGCGGTCATCATATCGGTCGTACGGGAGAGAACGTGGGCGTGGTGAAGGCTCGGCCGCTACTAGAGGCACGTTTTGAGCCGGAGTCTTTCTTTCAGGCTTGTCTTTATCAGGAGGCTCAGAGGAGAAACCAGCAACATACTAATTCTCTGTTTGTCATTCTGTTCCTCTTCAAGCTAAAAGTAGTAAAATGTCATTAATTCAGTGTCAATGAAAGTGTAACATGTCCATGCGTAGAAGTGGAAATTTTGAGTATTATATGTTATGTAATGTTGATGTTTAAAAATCAGTTATTATTTAATTCAAACTTATGTTTTCATCCTGCAACTTGGGTATTTCAGAATGGTAATCTGTCAGGTGGTTCGTGTGTATTTGAAACATGAATCGAAAAGAAACAAGAAATGATTTGTAACATTTTGTTTTCCTCATTCCTTCCCCTCTTCACTACTTTTGTTTTTCCATTCTATTACTACCCTCTCTCTTTGTTGCCATCCTTTTCTACTTTCATGTATATTCACTTCTTTAATGAAGGCTTTCCCTTCCTCCTCCTCCTCCTCCTCTCTATTTAAGTCATTAAGCCTTTGAGTTCTGATCCTCGCATAGAATTTGACCTCTGTTTCGAGTTTCTGCTGCTGTTGGACTCTGTGAAATTATAATTCCGATTTAGTCGGGGGTTTCATTTTAATTCCTTCAGTGGACATGGACAATTAAGATGTCTTCAAATTAATTAATACTTTGAAGTATTTGGTTTCAAATTAATGAGATTTAACTGTATGGTATAAGGATTATTTGTTATAATTTTCTTCCTTGTGTTTAGGTGCAGTCTGAGGATCGAACCGCGAACGATGTCACGAAGCCTTCTCGGTGTCAACTGTCGGATGAAGAGCCCACGCCCCGCGGCTCCCCCAGTCATCATGGCAGTAGCGATGGCACCGCATCTCCATATGGTTATTGGGGTAAAAGAGAAGCTCCTCCATACCGTGATCCTCCTGGTCCGGCATCTCCGCTGCAGCGCACGTTGCCCCCATACAGGGA